GGAAGAAAAAGTGCCAGGCTTGGCACTGTATCCACCCAAGGAACTGCACCCACCTTTCAGCTGGTTCTTCTGAAGCCAAGCTGAGAATAACTTCTGAGAATTGAATAAGAACTGAAAGCCAGTGTATGTAGACAGGCAAGTGGTGGAAGGACACGTTGCAAGTGATACTTCTGGGAGGTTAGAGGCGATTAAAATAAAGTCCTTAGCATTTGGGGGAGCTGAGAAAATGGGTAGCTTCAGTCTGGTCTAAAAAGGAGTACCTTGCATAAGCTTTTATCAAAAAGGAAAAAAAAAACCCTTCATTACGCTGGAGCATTTCATGGTCCTGAGTTTTTCAAACACAGATCTGGTTGTATTATTTTTCTTGCTTAGGGCAGCGCAGTAGTCTGTGCTCACCCCTAAAGTAGAAGCTGTAGTCTAACCCCTGCCCACCTTCCTTGCTATCTCCTGTTAGTCTCCCCTTTGTTTAATAATTTCTAGCCATACAAACATGGAATACCAGTCTCATTCCATCTTTGGGCTTTTACACTTGGTTTCCTCTTTTTGGGATCACTCTTTCCCCGTATCATCATGATACTTGTTCTTATCACCTGAGAGAGGCCTTGCCTAGTCACCCTATCTAAAGTAGGTCCCTATACCTCTGGCCTTCCTGGTTATATTGTATCCCAGAACTGGGTTCTGCTTCCAGTAGAATCTATCACTTACCACTGTGAGTTAACTTTATTTATTCATTTATTATGTCTTTGCCTAGTAGAAATAAGGTTCATGTGGACAGGGACTAATAAAACATGATTTTTCTGACATCATGGCCTGTATATCACATAGTAGATGCACTGTAAGTATGTTTGTTTCTTCATTCTTCCTTCCTTTCTTTCCTTTCCTTTTTGCTTTTGTGGCTTTCAGGATCTTAGTTCCCTGACCAGGGATTGAACCCATTCCCTGGGCGATGAAAGTGCAGAGTCCTAACCGCTGGACCTCCAGGAAATTCCCTTTGTATGTTTCTGAATATTGGAAAACTAGTCCCCAAATACACAGAAAATGTGGGGACTTCCCTGGTGGTCCACTGGTTGGAAATCCACCTTCCAATGTGGGGGATGTAGGTTCGATTCCTGGTCAGGGTACTAAGATCCCACATGCAGCAGGGTGACTAAGCCCTCCCACTGCAATTAGAGAAAAGCCCAAGAGCCACAAAATTTAAAACAAAGAAAAAAGAAAATGTGTGAAATTTAGCATCTAGATGTTGTGTCACATTGCCAAGTGATGGAGTGATGGAATTTAGTGCTTCTTTTTGTTTTTGCCCTTTTGGGGGGCAGGGGCATGCACATACAGATACACAGTATATGAGATTGATATTTATCAAGCAGTAGTTATTGAGTAACATCTGTAGTTTAAGATGAAAATTCTGGAAAAAGTCACTCCTTTTGTGAATGACTAGTTTTTCTGAGTCTCTTAAAACAACACTTTGAGCATCATTTCTTTGATTAGTGTGATTGAACATTTCACTTTCTACTCTGCAGATATAAAGCTGCTTTAAATTTTATGAAGTTTAACTGTTTTACATTGGGAAACAGTAAATTGAATTTTGAAATGAGGTCTTTCCCAATCTCACTATCATGGTTTTGAGTTATCAAAGTTTCAACTTCTGTTTTTATGACAAATAATTACAGTATTCTTTTAGAAATATCCCCTGAACAAAGTAGTGTCCAAATTTTTACTTTTTTTTTAATTGGTCGTTCATTCATTCAGGCACTATATTGTCATGTACATCATCCAAGACTTCCAATGTATTATACAGCCTTAGGAGATTCCTTAAAGTGGACTATCAGGCCTTAATACAGCTGCTGTCTCCAAGTGTGGTTCCTCAAATTAGCAGAATTAGCATCACCTGGGAATTTGTTAGGAATCCAAATTCCCAGGCCCCCTTTAGATTGATTCCCTCAGAAACTGTGGGAATGGAGTTGGGCAGTTTGTGTTTTAGCAAGCCCTCCAGATGATTCTGATACACACTAGTTTGAGAACTGTGGCTTCAGTTCAGTTCAGTTCAGTTCAGTTGCTCAGTTGTGTCCAACTCTGCGACCCCATGAATTGCAGCCCGCCAGGCCTCCCTGTCCATCACCAACTCCCAGAGTTCACCCAAACCCATGTCCATCGAGTCGGTGATGCCATCCAGCCATCTCATCCTCTGTCATCCCCTTCTCCTCCTGCCCCCAATCCCTCCCAGCATCAGGGTCTTTTCCAATGAGTCAACTCTTCGCATGAGGTGGCCAAAGTATTGGAGTTTCAGCTTCAGCATCAGTCCTTCCAATGAACACCCAGAACTGTGGCTTACTAAATGTTAAAAGTTCAAGGTAGCATGATCCTGCAGATCAGTCACATAGCATTAATTATTAGCCTTGTAAGCCCACCTCCTTTTTGTCACTGAATTTGATTGGTTCACTGAGACTGGGCTGTAAAGTTATTTTCTATATTGATTGCCACATATTGACTTTAGGTTGTTTATATTTCTCTGAACCTGTCAGTGTAATGATTTCCCAGGACACTTAATGGGAACAGACTGATTTTTTTTTTCTTTTTTCCTTTGCATCCATGGCTTTCTGAGTCACAGGTGGCTGGCTTCTTATATCCTTCTGGATAAAGCTCTCTAGGCACCAGGCATGGCACTCATGTTCTGTTAATGAGGGAGCTGTCATCCATCCCCTGTTGGATCACAGGGGACCCTGCAGGAGTATTTAATTCACCCCCATTTGGTTTACAGGTTGGGAGATTGATCCCCCACGAGGTTCTGCTTTTCTTGCAGGGGTGTAGCTCATTTGTGGTGAGCACAGGATTTCAGGACTTCTGACTCCCTCTACTGCACCAGGATTCCTGCAGGGGGAGGACAGAGCTGTGGCTTTCTGTGTGCCTGCAGGACATTCCTTTCCTACTGAGAGGATTTTTTTTTTTTTTTTAAAGAAAAAAGCAAATAGGAAAAAAAAAGTCAGGAAGTTCTCATTGAAACTAATAAAAGTGTCTAAAGAGAATAAAAAAATCAGTTTGAGAACTTTGGTATGGAGGAAATAACCTGACATTAACTGTTTTAATTATAGTTGTTGCATTGGGCTTATCAGTGTGGGAAGAGGGAGCATTTGAGCCCTACAGGGAAGTGGGATATGGACAGCAAGATGACCCTGTTCCTGCATATGCCTGTTCAGATTACAACCTAGTGACTGCTTGTGTGATCCCAACAGCTGTCATGGAGATGGGGCTGGAGTCGGTAAAGCCCTGTATTGTCATAGCTAGTGCTAGGGTAGAATGCCCAATGAGGTGGTTTCTTAATCTCCTTGGCCTTCACTTTCCAATATATGGGTATAATAATACCTATTCTGCCAAGTTTGGGAAGAAAAGTGTCACAGTGGGGAGCAGCATATTACTGTGTTCAGAGGACAGACACTCTCATGAGATCCAGTCTCCCTAGGTTCAAATCCTGGCTCTTTAACTGACGATTGTGACAATAGGTAGGTCACTTATGCTTTCTGTGGAAATGAGTATAATGAAATTAACTACTTCATTAGGGTTGTGGGGAAGATTTAATTAGTCTATATAAGTGCTTTAGAACAGTATTGCTGTGTGTTAACTATTGTTACTAGTTTTAAAAAATATTATTACCTTAAGAGATGAGATTTTTATAAACTTTCACCAGTTGCTAACAGTAGTGGACAAGCAAAGGGTTCTCATGCAGTAACTGTTAGTAGAGGAGTTGTTCTAATATCTAGCTTGTGCATGGGCCCTGCTGTGAGAAGAAGCTAGTATGCCCCAGAAGGGCAGACCTAGAGCCTCTAATGTTGTAATTTATTCATAGAGTGATATGCACACTCTATTCATAGAGTGATAAGCACAGAGGAAACTCAAAACCAGGGCCTTCTCGATTTTGCTTTCAGGTTTTTGTTTTTTTGTTTTTGTTTTTTGCTTTCAGGTATTTTTATATGAACCATCCTAGGAGATGAATATCTTCATAATCTTCTAGAAAATGTTTCATGGACTTTGATTTTGGCTTTTATTGTTTGACAAGGTTTCTTTCTGTCTTGCCTTTCTAATTGTTACTAGGATTCTTGATAAGCATTTTGGTGATGAAAATTCTAACTCTAAAAGCTAAACGATCAGGGTATTGTAACTATCCAGCAAACAAGTGGCAGCCTTTGGGTAGACTTCCTCCTCTTTCGGCTGAACTCAATGAAAGTTTCTGCTATTGCTGTTTATTTCTGAGCAGTCTCTTTTGGGAGGGAATTAGGATGGTGAAGTGCCTTTTTACTATGGGAATGAGGATTCAAGAATTTGAGAATTATTATTTTATTTATATATATATATATAAAATTAACTTTTCATTTTCTTTACTTTGATATCCCCCCTCTTCTACAAGCTCTATTCATGGTCTACTCCCCATCTTTGTTTGAACCACTTGGAGTTAGTTAGAGATTGTGTTTTATTTATTTCTCTGTTTTTTATTTCTGCCTTTTCTTCTGGATCCTAATACAGCATCTAGTATACATTAGGCTCTCAAATATAGTTTATTGAATGAATATTATTGCTGTTTCTGGTTACTTCTTGAAGTGGCCTGTTTTGAAACTTCACGTGAAGGTTTAAGTAATTCATTGATATCATGGTGACCTATCTACAGTCTTCCTGAATATTTATTTATTGATGAATCCTTACATTGCTTATCTGAAGTGTCTAAATCCCAAGATGCTTGTGGAATATCATGGATTGGATAGTATAACTTTAATTTTCATAGTGTCATTGGGAAAGGGATGTAGCAGCCTAGAGAGAGAGAAGCACAGAGAATTAAGAATGCCATTCAAGACCACAGAGCAGTTACTATGGGAAGAGACTCTTGGGATGAGCTTTTCTACTTTATGACCCCAGAAGCCAAAAGATAAAAAGATGATCTGAATTTGATGTTTCTTTAATGTCTAAGGGTTATGATTAGTGACTTATTTCTAATGTGAATTTGTTTTTATTTTTAGCATTGCAATGTCGGGATGGCTATGAGCCCTGTGTAAATGAAGGAATATGTGTTACCTACCACAATGGTACAGGATACTGCAAGTAAGTTTTTCTCTCTTTTTTTTTTTTCATGTATCTTATTTTTCCTCAGTAGGAAATTGGGCAAAATTTGGCTCTATTATCCTATACTTAATACCTCTGTGAAATGTTACTGGTTCACTAACTTTTCTGATGTAATTTTCTGGAAGATGAGGATTTGGATGTCAGATAAATGGTTAATAAGAACTTACTGTCTTACCCTTATCTTACTATCTTACCCATCATGATAAAGACTTTCAGTGCATAGCTTGTGTGTGTGTGTGTGTGTGTGTGTGTCTGCCTGTGTGCTTAGTCACTTAGTCATGTCTGACTCTTTGTGACCCTTTGGACTGTAGCCCACCAAGCCCCTCTATCCATGGGATTTTCCAGGCAAGAGTACTGGAGTGGGTTGCCATTTCCTCCTCCAGGGGATCTTCCTGACCCAAGGATCAAACCCATGTCTCCTGTGTCTCTTGCACTGCAAGCAGCTTCTTTACCCACTGAACCATCAGGGAAGCCCAGAGAGTATATTCTTTAACATTTTTCAGTTTAATCGTTAAGTTAAGAAATCTTTCAGTTAAGAAAATTTCAGTTTTCAGATTAGAATCTATTCTCAATGTATTAGCTCTGATCTTGTTTTTAAGTCAGACCAAATGCATGTTAACTTTAATTCTGCCTACCATAGGTAAGTATTATAGCTATGTAACACTTTTTTTTTCCTAATGTAAAATATCCAATTCTGGAGGAGAGTCTGTGAGAGAAGAAAATACGCACTTGCCTGTAGGGATGGAGTAGGGAGCAGGGGCTGTGGGTGAAGGTCATTATATGGATTTAAAAGAATAAGAGCTAGGGTTAGGAAATGGCAGCCCACTCCAGTATTTCTTGCCTGGAAAATTCCATGGAGAGAAGAGCCTGGTGGCTGCAGTTCATGGGGTTGCAGAGAATCGGACATAGCTGAGCATGCACACACTAGCCACGCTAGAGAAGAATTAGGATGAGGAATAGGACTAGGGAGTATAGGCTAGTTCTCAGGAGTGTTTCTTTTCTTCCTGTCTGATCATGAAGTGTAGCCATACTTTTTGTTTGAGGAAGGCCTGTTAGGTAATCTTTTAAATTGCTTCTCTAGGTTTCCTATGGATAATTTCCCCCGCTTCTACCTCAATTGAAAATTTTTGATAGGGACATGTATCCATTCTATTTCTTTAATAGAAAATAAGATTTGGTAATATGACATTTATCTTCTTTAATACTTCTTTTGGAGTGTATTTGTTCTTTGCTTTGGTAGAAGTATGTGCTTGATAAGCATTTTAAGTGAGTTTATCCAACATAGTTTTGTTTCTTTTCTGGATATTTAGCTGAATAACTTAACTGTAATAATTACATTTGTTCCAATCAAGTCTATTCTGACACTGGGATTTAAGTTCTTTAATGTTATGAACAAGAATTTTTCCAAGTCAGAAAAAATTTTCTTCACCAAAGTGAAAATATTTTAAGCTGTGATGACAGTAAAGCTTAACAATAGGTTATTTGGATTGGAATAAAAATAACATTGGAAATGAAATTTTTTATGTAGCTGATTATAGGCCGTTCACTTAGTTTTTCTAGCTGGGGAAAAAATCCAACCAAAAGCATGTGATGTAGTCTCCTCTAAGAATGGAAGCACAACTGGAGATAATAGGGAAAGGAACTTAATACGTTAGAATTGACCACTGCAATCTTGTTTAGTCTCTTTTTGGCATCTGGTGTCTTGGTTACTTGCTTCGTTCTATTATTTAGCTGTCTCGTGGTAGGTAACCCATTATATTATGATCAGTTGTTGATAATGTTGTCTCTCCCACTGGAGTATGAGAGGTCCTGGTCTTGTGCATTTTCAGTCTGGTATGTAGCTAGTGCTCAGCAATATGTTTCTTGAACCAAAAGATGCTCACTAGGTATCATCATTCACTTGTTTATTTATTTAATTGAAGGACAATTGCTTTACAGAATTTTGTTGCTTTCTGTCAAACCTCGACATGAATCAGCCATAGTTATACGTATGTCGCCTCCCTTTTGAACCTCCCTCCCATCTCCCGCCCCATCCCACCCCTCTAGATTGATACAGAGCCCCTGTTTGAGTTTTCTGAGCCATACGGCAAATTCCCATTGGCTATCTATTTTATATGTAATATAAGTTTCCATGGTACTCTTCCCATACATCTCACATGTTTTTAAATCTATTTGTCTTAAATAAGTAGAGACTGGGCCTTTCCTCTGAGAATTTTGTTTGCTTCATGTAGTATTCAGGATGTCGGTACCATGCTGTTGCTGCTAAGTCACTTCAGTCATGTCCGACTCTGTGTGACCCCATAGATGGCAGCCCACCAGGCTCCCCCATCCCTGGGATTCTCCAGGCAAGAGTACTGGAGTGGGGGGGTGCCATTGCCTTCTGCGGTCGGTATCATACAGAGAGGCAATTTAGTTCTAAATTATTTAGAGATAATTCAACTTGGTGACTTATGTAGGGAGAATTTCAAATACATTCCAAGTGTTAGCCTACATATTTGTGGTCTGACATGGGGAGAGAAGATTCTAGAGGAGACTAAACTCTGAGCACATACCAGGAATGGACACTAAGGGTCATTTTAGGAGAGAAAAACAGATCTGTGAGTCTCAGGCTCTCCAACCAAGGTGAGAGAGACAAAGTTAGCCCCAGTTTTCAGAAGAAGCATTGCTAGGAAACAGGGGACTCACTTCGTGACTGACAAAAATGGAGCTGCCAGAATTCTGTGGCTGAATGTGTGTTAATGATTGATAGGGTGGATTGCTTATGGGTGTAGTTCTAGATACAGTCCTAGATGTCCCTCAGATGACTTCCAGCCCTGTTGTGAGGGAAACAGCCTTCTGAAAAGCAGAGCAAGGGGGAAAATGGGCATGGCCACCTTCTGGGGAGACCAACATGGATAACAAAGCTTGTAAAAAGTGGTTGTTTCTCTACTTCAGTGAAAGGAATATTAGCATCTTCAGGAGTAGAAGAATCAACATAAGTGGACACAGGAAAAGCAAGAACAATATCAGGGATGCCAGGTCACTCGTCCTACAGTGGCACGCCAGCCAACATCCACAGCATATTAAGCAAAATTTAAGTAAAAATAACATTGACTTAGCAGACTTTCAGTATATCTTCACCACCTTTATTTTTTTTCCCCAGGGAAAGAAGTTACTCCAGCTTGCTCAGTAAATATTATTTTCGCAAAATGGTATATGATTATTAGAACACTTAGAAGATTTATAAAAATCACATCAGATATACAGGACTTAATGACTGTCTTTTTATTCACGAGATTGCTTAGTGGATTAAGGAAAGAGAGCTGAGGCCAAATTTCTTTTACTGGGGTGAGTGGGTTGGAGTTAATGGAAAATGTTTTAAAGTAGAAGGCAACTGACTGTCTCTTTAAAGAGCATAATGTTATTGACTTAGCTAAATTATAATGGTTGTTTATGGAAATTATAGAAATCCTTGATTATATCACATTGACAGATGAGGACAAGTACTTTTAAAGGTTAGTTTTGTACACAGCTCAACTGTTTTTTTCTAACTGTTAAGTATTCTATCAGTCTGTGATTAGATTGGGAGCCAGACAAGAAGAACCTGTGTAATCTTGCATAAAACTCAATTATTGCTCCTAAATAGTTGTTGTCAGCTCTTAATAAAGCCCTCTCACTACACAGAGGTAAGACATTTCATTCTCTCCCTTGTCCTACTGGGAGCTGTAAATATATAATTAAGTTTGGCTGTCATTAATCACTTTCAAGTTGTTTTCTCAGGCTTTCAAATAAAACCATTCCAAATCCCTCTTTGATTAAAACTCGTGGGCAACTCAAGTTCACTAGAGTGTTGGGAGTGGGTGAAGTTACAATTTGCAAAATTCACAAAATGTGTATTTTTAAGGACACATTTATCATAGTTATTTAAAGTCCTTGCCTGCCAGTTTTTAACATATGGGTTGTCTTTGGGTGTGTTTCCATCAACAGCCCTTTCAGTTTCCCTTTACTTCATGTTTATGGTAGTTTTTATTGTTTCCTGGACATTATAAGTGATGCATTTTAAAATTTATCTTCTACTAAAGAATGTTACTGGAAGATCAGCTTGATGCTATGGAGGCTTGTATTTCAGTTCTGGTATGGTGGGTCTGTTTTGCTCTTAGTCTGATGGTGTATTTTAGGCAAGACTTGGAGTCTGGATACACTCCTTATTCCCAAGGTATGACCCTTCAGTGAATTCAGTGGAAAGTATGAGGTGTTTACCACATACTGGGGTGTATCTCAAGCCCCCTAATTTGGTAGGACTTGAATTCAAACCTCTGACTCCCCAGAACCATGCTCAGCTTTTCAGCCTTCCAGCTCTTGCTTTCTGTTGTGTTCCTCATATCATCTTGTTGTGGAGTTACATGACATGTTTTGTAACATGTCTGGTTACAAAACTGGTTCTGTCTGGTCCAGGATTTCTCTTCCTCAGTTTTCAGAAGAATTTTGACAGTTCTGGATACCTTTGACTCCTTGGCTCTTATAGGACCTCCATTCACTTATGCTTCATGAGCTGGGGAATACCTTCAGGGAAAAAGGTATATAAGTGTAGGTTTCCTATATGTAGTTTGTTTTTTCCTTTGAGGTTCATATCCCTTCTAGTTTCTTCCTGCTTTGATTGCTCTCTGGTGCCTTTTAATATTTTGCCTGAAGTTTATAATTATTATAAATGAGAGAGTTGATCTAAGTTACTCTGCCATTACTTCATTGAAAGGACTGATGCTGAAGCTGAAGCTTCAGTACTTTGGCCACCTGATCTGAAGGACTTACTCATTGGAAAAGACCCTGATGCTGGGAAAGATTGAAGGCAAAAGGAGGAGGGGGCGGCAGAGGATGAGATGTTTACATAGCATTACCGACTCAACTGACATGAATCTGAGCAAACTCTGGGAGATAATGAAGGACAGGGGACCCTGGCTTGCTGGAGTCCATGGGGTTGCAAAATGTCAGACACGACTTAA